AAAAAAAAAAAAAAAAAAAAAAAAAAAAAAAAAAAAAAAAAAAAAAAAAAAAAAAAAAAAAAAAAAAAAAAAAAAAAAGAGGAAAAAAAAGGGGAAAAAAAAAAAACCAAAACCCCAAACAGAAGGAACATCTCTATACAATGGGCTGGTCTCTCCCTACACGCCTCTGCCTCCCTTCTGCTCAAAGCTCCTCTGCACCCCCAAATCTCAGCGTTACTCCATGATTCCTGATGAGAAATGCCACAATCAGCTGCCCCCTCCATGATTTGAACACCCCCTTTCCCAGCTCCCAAGACAGGGCCCCGCTGGCAGCCCTGGCACTGATTTGCAAGCACTTGCTCCTGATTTGGTGTTTTTGGTTCTGCAGAGCACAGACTCAGCACACACAGGGGATGGGACAGGACAGGAAGGGTCGGTTGGGAGGGACCTACAGGGATCAGCTGGTGCAGCCCCACCAGCAGCTGGAGGGGTCTGGCACCTGCCCAGCACCTTTGGGCAAGGAGTCTTTGCTTTTCCATGTGCTCTCCAGGGCCAGGGGACGTGGGATTGGCTGCCACTGGAATTTACTGACGCCCTGATAAGGAGGAACTGATGCAGTCAAACATCTGAGCCCAGACCAGCCCAAACTGTACAATCTCCCTTCTGCTCCTGGGAGCTCCGGGAGGGTTCCACCGAGGAAAGGGGAGAATGTCCTAAAAAAGCAGAGATGATATTTCTCTTATGCAGTCAGGCCCAGGTCCAGCAAGGGACTTCAACTAAATTTAAGAATAGAAGGCCTTTCTCCAGCAATTCCCTCATTCCAAGGAGAGCCTGTGTTTATGTGGATTGCTGGATAAAGACCTTGACTGGTGACAAGTGGTTTGAAATATCCCCCCACCCCCCAAAAAAAATCCCAAACCAAACCCCAGCATCACTTTTCTTCTTACTCCAGTAAGAAATAATAATAATAATAATAACAATAATAATAATAATAATAACAACAATAATTAAGAAAAGATAAAGGGGAAACAACTACTGTAAACATCCATGTTTGAAAATGTCTCCCTTTGCAAAGCAAGCATGCTGCTACCCTAGAGTCTAGAGACTGGACTGACTTCCAAACAAAACCAAAAAAAAAAAAAAAAAAAAAGGCAGCTATTTTACACATCCATTTAAACACAACAAAAGTTAAAAAAATATTTGTCAATTGTAAACACTGGAAAGAACAAAAAGTTGGCAAAAAAAAAAAAATTTAACATAAAATTTTAAAGAAATGTAGAGTCTGAATACTGCAAATTGAAATACATCCCCCCAAGCTGCAAT